AGACACTTATATTATACCCAATTTTTTCTATAGCCATTCCATGGGGACTGTACCCGAAAAAAAACCCGTTAGGTCCCCCTTCTAGCAGAATCAAACATGTATGCCAAGCCAAATTTGATGTTGCTAGTTTGTGAGTAGGGGTTTATGCATAGTCTCAAACTTGGCATCCTCTGGATCCCAAGGGGGGCCAGAACACAACATTCAATGCTAGATTCCGGTTCAGCGACTCCCAAACCCCATTCCTATACTCCAATCATGTCTACATTATTTTCCGGGCGCATTTGAGTTCCCTTTGTACCCCTTTAGTAGGAAGGCTACGCTATATGTCCTCCAGTGGGATAGTGGTAAGTCTACGGACTTAGAATGCTAAAATCCTGGGTTCAAATCCTCGCGGTGGACATCAACAAACAAGCTAGGCCATATAGATAAAGACACCTGAGCTACTCCGAGTCCTCCTGCCACTTTGATCCTGCTAGCTCCAAAACTGTGGGTGGAGTTTAACAAAAAAAATAAAAACTATATTCACATAGAACGTCTATTAATACAGGAATCAATCTTGCTATTTATGTTGACCAATTATGGAACAGATATAATACGTGAAACAATATTAAAAATACTTCGATTTATTTAAAGCTGCATAACTTTAGCCTAATATCATAATTACATCCGTTAGGTTCATAAATGGTCCCTTTGAGTACGTATTCTACAAGACATATTATATATTAGAGAATAATAATTCGTGACTTAAGCTCTGAAATACAGAGGTTGAATATATTATAATAAAGCGATTATGTAGTCTCACCATTTCGTTACTGGTCGGTCATGTTATGTCTGACAACCATGTATTTCGATAATATCCCTGCAAAATGGTTTCCATGGCAAAAGGCTTTCTTCTAAGACTGTCATGTCCGAAGGACACCACACCTTCCTGCAAGATTTCCATAATTCATCTAATGGACGAGGAAGACGGTTTCCCAATACCTGTTTGAACAATTTCATCGCACAAAAATGCACGGTTTTGACAATTATACCGCAGTATGTAATAGCATGAATACTCTTTCATTCTCCAATTACTTGAGATTTACGACAGTTGAACAGGAACTATAACTGGAAACCTTATTTTGGTCTCGTTTCCAGACGGAGATCCTTCTTGATTAGGTTGCGCACTGTTACCTTGGACACATATACAGCTTTTGCCACTGACTTGTTACAAGACGCTGCACTTTGCTTACCATCGTTGGTGGTACCAAATGATGCTAGTCTTTTTCTGGATCCTCATTTCTTTGTTTTTCAATGGCATTAAGTCAAATAGATATTCACTTCTTGACAGTTTTAAATCTCTTCAATCTTAACACATTTTTATGATCTGAGTGTATGAATATTTTGCATCCAAAAGGGCAATTAAATACCCTTTACAAAAGCGATCAGTTTACAGTGGCATCACACTAACTATATACGAAACGTCAGTATCAAAATGTAGTTCAAGTACATGCTGTTTAACCACGACTTGATACCTGCTGTGATTGTCACGTGACTTGGTGATTTGCTTGCTACAGTAAGCGTCGACATAAAAGACAGAACCATAAGACTAGGGTACATACTACATTATGTGAAGGATCAAATGTATATTTGTAAAGATTTATCTGCAAAGTAGGGCCAACACATTGATGAATCATTTATCAGAGTTAATATTTTTACTCAAGCCTTACTAAGGTTACACGAGCTAGCCGTAAGGGTAGATCCACGCTAGATGGCAGCACTAAAAATTCTCCAAATACAATTTTATAATTCTGGAGAATATTTACTGAGCAAAGAATGGTCAATGCTAAACATCTAAAGTGAACAATTAAGTAGTCTGTGCAATCAAAGAAAGGGAGAAAATCAATTCTATTCATCATAGACTCGTGGTTTTAGTAGGTATTTATAATCTACGAAATTATTGTATAGCTAACAATGTTTACCGTATCACTAGAATATTACTAAAAGGAGTAAATTAGACATATTAACCTGAAAACTTATTGTTCCATTTTGATCTCGATCAAACGCTTTGAAGACGTAGTGAGCATAGGGACCAGTTTCTGGAAGAAATATAAGAAAATCTTGAACTACAATGAATATTTTAGCTCTTATAAATGAAATAGAATGTTTTAAAATCTACATAACTTTAATAATACTACTAAAAAATACTGTAACAAGTATCTAAATTATCCTAATGGTGGTAGGTTTACAGACTTACAACACTATAATCCGGGGTTCGATTCCCCGTGATGAACAGAGCGTAGATAGATTATTGTGTAGCTCTGCGCTAATGAAACCAAACTGCAATTTGTTTACTGAATTTTTGTTCTCAGGTACTTAAAATATAGCTAACTTATATAACAATATAAAGTGAAATATTAAACATGTTAGATCTCATTACATTCTATTCTGTTTATATTATTAGGATGTTTACTCTGTCTATGCAGCGCAGATAGCCCTCGTGTAGCTTTGCGCGAAATTCCAAAACAAACAAACAAACTGTCTATGCAAAAAATAATGTTATCGATTTTCCATTTAGCTTTAAAAGCGCCTTTGACTTAAGTTTAATTCAAGATGTATTTAAGCAGTTTCCACCAACTAAAAAACTAAGTTACAACTTCCATCATCAAGGATGATGGTGCATAAAGTGAAACAAGTTTTCCAAAGACCCTAAGTTACAACTTCCATCATCAAGGATGATGGTGCATAAAGTGAAACAAATTTTCCAAAGACCCTTAGATTATTTTCACTGTTGTAACGTCATTCAGTAAGTCAGATTAATATATATTTTATTAATTTATCTTTTTTTTGTTTTACTTATAATAAAGTTTAAAAACATTTCAAGAAAATTAATATGTTTTTTTTTTGGAATGCTGAATTAAAAATTGATATATGTGGTGTATTCATACAGAAAAGAAGGAAAATGCAGTGGTCTAGCTACAATTTTCAGTTTAGTTTTACACTCTAGTGTAGAAGTCAGAGATTATTTCATCATGCGGTATATAAGAAGAATTAACAAAGTACATATTTAAGTGAAACAAAATAGAAAAAAAAACATGACTCGATGATCATCTTATTGCCATTTTAGGGTAAACTCAGACAACAAAAACGTCTGTAACGATCTTTAAAAACCATAAATTCTCCCTCAATCCAAATGAGTATCGAAGTTAACTGTTATAAACCTTATTAAAGTAATTTTAAGTAAATTGAATTTTTTGAAACACAGGAAAAATTTGTCTAATGACAACATATTTACTTTTAAGATTTTGAAAATTACATTGGGTATAATTGGCCGATTCCTTTATTTGGTGGTCCGTGCAAAATAAATCAATTAATCTAGAAAACTAGATATTTTTGCAGCTATTTTCAACCAAAGAGGAAAACAGTTATTATTAAAAGAACTCGTACGTCTGTGATATGCCTGTACATATATTTTTTAATATACTTATAACATGAATAGAAAAAAAAATAATCTCACCTCCTTGCGGAAAGAACTGGGCGTATATATCTTTAAAAGTGCTTTCATTGACAATCCCCGTTGGGCAAGCCTAAGAAATATAAATGTCTGATGAAAAAGGTTTACCAAAATAAGAAACATCACTTCTGTTAGCCCAAAAACAGAAGCCATACAAAAACTACTATACAACATACAATTTATGAGCATCAAACTTTATGTGGTTTTAAAACTATAGGCACAATTCAAGGTATAGTTATCGATTATTTTGGAGGACAAGTACACACATATATTTGCATATTCATGCGATTATGAACGCCTAAAGAAAACAACACATTTGACTTCTAGTGACGAGGGATTAAAGGAAAAATCAGGATGTTTACTAGACTCCTTTCGTTTGATGTTTTGAACTTCGTGCAAAACTACTCGAAAACTATCAGTGCTAGCTATCCCTACTTGATAGACTTCAGGGAGGATAGCTTGTCAACACCACCCACAGCCAACTCTTAGGCCACTATTTTACCAATGAATAGTGGGCTTGACCGTCACATTATAACACTCCCAAGGTTTAAAGGGCTAGGAGTTTCAGGAATGGATTTAAATCCCGCGACCCTAATAAGAGACCTCTCTGTTCACTGGAAGAATGATTAATTCAGAAATATGTCTTCTTCCGCTATTGTTTACTCAGAGAATGGGAGGTATAACGATGTCTGTATGCCTGTCTATGTATAGATAACTTTTCAATGTTTTGCATTATAATATATATTGTTATTATCTGAAGCACAGCCAAGATGCCAATATTCATTGCCAGTGGTGTGCTTTATAAATAGGTAAGACAATAATTAATATCCACGTGCTTATTTGATTGTTTTCAAATAACAATCAGTTTTTAGTAAGGATGGTTACTGCTTTATATGAGGTAATGAAATGAAACAAAAAAATATTTAGAGATGTTAGCGTTGTAAATGACATATAATAATGATAGAGGAGTTTTACAGATATCGATGTACCAACGCAAAGTTACGTCTCCAGGCTCAGTTTGGGCACAGTATTTCCCTAAACAAAGACAGTGAGGCTAATAGAACATAGAAACCAACCAATCACAACATTTCTTTTAATTCCGCAAGGATTTGACGAAACTATCATCATATTGAGGTGAGCAAACAGAAAGGAAATACACTTATCGTACTGTATTCGTGTTTAGCATTTATGGAAAAGCCACTAAAACTATTTACCGCCGTCCCTAATATTGAACTATTGATCAGAGAGAATGGAACCATCAGAAGCACCGTACCAGTAATTACCCACGCTAAGGGGCTGACTGTCACTCTTATAACTCACAGTTCAAAGTGCTAAGAATATTTTATGTTATCGCGCAAATTCGAATTCCGCTATCCTGCTCCGAAATCCAGAGATATGCCACAGATCCAGCCCGTGTCCCACCGAGCTGAAAGGAGATAGCTTAAAAATTTAGATACAAATAAACTGATTCCAAGTCGAGAATAGCTAAAGCTTAGAGAAGTTGAAAGAAAGTCCTTTTAAATAGCTTCGAAACAACAGTGATCTTATAATCGGCGTTTGTGTTGTTCTAGATCAAATCAACTATGTATAACTAGGAGTAGAACGAGGACGGGTTACGATCTCGCAATTTGCAGGTTATCGAACTATCTCACAAAGAAAATTGGAGATAAAACCACATGAGTTTTAAAACTTATTGATAAATTAGATGGTCGTCTAATTTTTTTTTCCCATTCACCACGCCAGTTAAAATGCTCCGAATGGAAGATCCGTCCTAAAGTCTTAATGCCAAATCAAATAACTAAAACCTGCTGTAATAACAATTGATAATCCCTATAAAATAATATATTAGTTGTTCAAGGAAACTTTGACCCAGTTATTGTAGATTATTTGAAGCTAGTCTTAACGATTTCTGGAGTAAACATCAACACTTCCCTCTGAGATATGTAACTTGGGAGTATATTAATCATCCTAAACGTTAAAGCTCTATGCACTAGTTTACCCATTTACAAGGGCAACAATACATATATGACTTATTGGTTAGTAAAGAAAGATTTGTTAAAAATTATTATCAATCTGAATAAGATGTATTATAATACAAACTACCGATCTATAAATCACTCTTCGGTAGTATACACGTTCTATAACATACGAATGAGACAGTTAACTTATATTTAAAGTGTCCAGGATTCTGAACTGTTGTTCTTAAGAAATTTAATGTTTTAAACTTAGGAACATGTAGTACAACCATATTAGAGGTAAATCTAGGAACATATAGTGTAACCATATTAGAGGTAAATCTAGGAACATATAGTGTAACCATATTAGAGGTAAATCAAGGAACATGTAGTACAACCTTATTAGAGGTAAATCAAGGAGCATGTAGTATAATCATATTAGCGGTAAATCAAGGAGGATGTAGTGTAACCATATTAGAGGTAAATCAAGGAGCATGTAGTATAACCATATTAGCGGTAAATCAAGGAACATATAGTGTAACCATATTAGAGGTAAATCAAGGAACATGTAGTACAACCATATTAGAGGTAAATCAAGAAACATGTAGTACAACCATATTAGAGGTAAATCAAGGAGCATGTAGTATAACCATATTAGAGGTAAATCAAGGAACATGTAGTATAACCATATTAGAGGTATACTACATCTTCCTTGATTTAACCATATTAGAGGTAAATCAAGGAGCATGTAGTGTAACCATATTAGAGGTAAATCAAGGAAGATATAGTATAACCATATTAGAGGAAAATCAAGGAAGATGTAGTATAACCATATTAGAGGTAAATCAGTATCCAAGTTCACAGTAATCATTTTCCACTGGCTTGGAACAACCATATTTCTTCCAGCTAAAGTGCGAACCTGATTTTTATTCTGTATTATTAATAATGTGCTTTGTGTGTGGTCGCACTTTATTTACAGAACTATAAGTAAATAAAATACCAACATTGAATTACGTTGCAACATCATTTGCGTCAGAATTATCCGAATCTTCTATTTCTCGCGAACTATTTCGCTGTAGATTTTCTTCGTAACTTTTACTCATCTCAATCCATTCCACTAAAATCTTCGGTAGTTTACCACGATAACTTTAAACTATCAAACTGTTCCTAGACCATTAAATGGAACCAGCGCAAATCAAGTAAGTACGCACATTGTTTATAATAAACTGTTGGTGCAAACTAATGCTTCAGAAAATCTATAAAAAGAAGATAGAAAATACATACACAACGACATAAATATCGACAACATAATGGGTTTGTCCTTCACCTCTGATAACGTGAGATGTTTAGATTGCCAAAATATTTGTTAAAGAAATTTACCTTTAAAGCTTGCTGGTTAAAAACAAAGCCTGTAAATCAAATTAAATATTCTCGCGAAACCTGATCTGTAACTTTATCCCGAATCAAGAGTGAATTGTATGTATTATTTTTGAAGTTTACTTGGAGGTTGCTGTGAACTGAAAATTAAATTTGACTAGCACAGTCACAATATGTATCATCTAAGATATACTGAAGAGGTTGAGGAACTATTGAGGTATGTTTCTGATAGGATCCAAAAACACTTTCGACACGACGATACGGACGCAAGTACACCATTATAGTGATGTATTTTTAACAAACAGAGTATCTTATAAATTCCCCTTACAGTAACGATATCCATATTGGCCAAATATTATTTCTCAGAAATCGTCTTTGAAATGTACAACGTGAAAAGCAAAAACATAATCAAAGCTGAAATAACTTGGTGATTTTGATTAATACTATTAAGAAGCATTAATATTCTTATAAATTGGTTCATTTGGTTTGTTATGAATTTCGCGCAAAGCTACACGAGGGCTATCTGCGCTAGCCGTCCCTAATTTAGCAGTGTAAGACTAGAGGGAAGGTTAGTCATCATCACACACCGCCAACTTTTCTACCAACGAATAGTGGGATTGACCGTCACATTATAACGCTCCCACGGCGGAAATGGCGAGCATGTTTGGTGGGACGTGGATTCGAACCCGCGACCTTCATATTGCGAGTCCACCGTCCTAACCACCTAGCCATACAAGGCCAATTCTCGTAAATAAATAAGATGTTATATTATACATATAGCTGTATTACATCGAACCCATTGTAAAAGCTGGGGTTCGATTCCCCACGGGCAAAGTGCAAATAGCGCATTGTGTAGCTGAGCACTAAAAACAAAAATCGAATAAAGTAAGTACCTGAGCACTTCTAAATATTCGATTCCCCACGTGCAAAGTGCAAATAGCGCATTGTGTAGCTGAGCACTAAAAACAAAAATCGAATAAAGTAAGTACCTGAGCACTTCTAAATATTCGATTCCCCACGTGCAAAGTGCAAATAGCGCATTGTGTAGCTGAGCACTAAAAACAAAAATCGAATAAAGTAAGTACCTGAGCACTTCTAAATATTTGACTAATTTTCTGAAATATGGTATTTTACTTTGATTTTACAAGAACATATTATCTCTTTTAATATGCACCTTCTGTGCTCAAGCATAGGAAAAAAACAGACAAATTACGAAAATACTAATATATATATATATATATTTCTCACCTGTTTGAATCCTTGGTACATTAGTTTAAGCTCTTTTTTAGAAAATTTTGTCGTCCGACAAAGAACGTCAATTCCATCTGGTTTACAACGTATTACAGTCATTTCCAAGTCCTCTACAGGATTTTCTATGAACAACCAGAAGGAAAGAAATAGGTAAAGTGATAAAGTCATGTGACTGTGTTTATATTTCTTGCTTAATCTTATATGTAAGTTGCTAATGGTGTCATTTTCTCTCATATTTTACTTTCCTTTCAACATTTTTAGACCGTTTTCTCCTCCTGATTCTTTAATAACGGATTTAAGTAAGATTACCAAACTTAACATTCAAATACTATTTGAATAAACCAATTTTGAGGACAAACATAAATGATCATATACGTTTTGTTGTGTGAAAACTATTTAAGATAATAGATTACAATATATATTATCTAAAATGTATTACTTTAGAAGTTAATGGTCCAAAACGGTTATGATGATAAATTATATAAAATTCGCGTGACGTTACGTAAAGGTTATAGAGCTTAAGTCTTCTGTTTTATTGAGATGTATTTGCAATATATTCATGTTATTTTCATGATAAGATGTGAACTGTAATCTCTGTGTGAGACTTTTATTTATCGTTTGTTGTTGCAAGACGTGATCCTTTCTAATATTCTTGTGCACTATGAGTGTCTTTTTTTTTGTTCTACTTCTAATTCATTAGTTAGTCTGAAAATATAGAATCTTGCCCCCCCCCCCCAGTGGCACAGCGGTATGTCTGCGGACTTACAACGCTAGAATCCGGGTTTCGATACCCGTGGTGGGCAGAGCACAGATAGCCCATTGTGTAGCTTTGTGCTCAATTACAAACAAAAAATATAGAATCTTGGCGAACGGAACGATGTAGCCGTACATATACGTACACTTACCTAAGTATATAACGTTATTTACCCTGTGAAAACCTAAAAAAACAAAAACGTTCGTATTTGTTTACTTTTAGGATTCATGAAATTAAATGGGTAGCAATAATTACTAATTGCTAGTATAATAATTACTAGTTTTACTAAACGTAATCGGGCTCTCTTTATTTAGGTGCAATTAAATGAATTTATGTGTGCGTGCGTGTATGTGTGTTTCGAAACGCTTTCTAATCTCTGTGAATTAGTATTGCAGGGAAAAAGGCTTGATGATAAAGATTGGTTTGTTTGTTTTTGAATTTCGCATAAAGCTACATGAGGGCTATCTGCGCTAGCCGTCCCTAATTTAGCAGTGTAAGACTAGAGGGAAGGCAGCTAGTCATCACCACCCACCGCCAACTCTTGGGCTACTCTTTTACCAACGAATAGTGGGATTGACCGTCACATTATAACGCCCCCACGGCTGAAAGGGCGAGCATGTTTGGTGTGACCCGCGACCCTCAGATTGCGAGTCGAGCGCCTTATCCACCTGGCCATGCCGGGCCAAAAAATTGGAAACTATGAAGTATTTTAACAAAATGAAATGAAGATATTTTTCAACACTAGCAATGAAGAAATACAAACATAAAATAGAAGCAACAGGTAACAACAAAATACACAGAAATATTTTAACTTTTGTGAATTAAACCTATTCTGGAGCCTGCTAAAAAAATCCATAAAACCAGAAAGAAGCAGACAAAAATAAGCCACCAAAAATAAAAAAGGGAAACCCATGTAGTTTTGGAGAACTGAACTTTCTTCTTCAGGGTCAATCTTTCGAAATTGCTGGGATTATTGAGATTCTTTGTTTGTGATGAACTTGTTGTTAATCTTACACGAGTTCTTTAGTATCACGGGTATTAGTTTTCAAATTTAAGCATTTTCTATAGTTAACGTTTTCATTTCATAGTTTTATCAATCCTTTACACACACACACACACACACACTTATTAAGGTCAATATGTGAACTAGTCACAGTATATAGAAGCTTGCTTCACTTATGAACGACTATTTATATCTAGAGCTCCTCTTGACGGATTAAGCAACAGTAAACACGTTAGAATAAGTAAGGTTTATTTGGTTTTGTTATTTCTTGTTCAGAATGCAACAAGTTTCTAAAGGCAGAAGTTTTTCTTTAAACATCTATAAGTTTTATAAACTGAAGTTATATTTTAGCTAAAAAAATCAACGGATGAAGAAATAATAGCACTTTTATTTCAGAAGTTTTAAGTGTCTAAAAGTATTGAATAATTAAATTATTTTTTCAAACTAAATTTGCTGTGTATAGAAGAGAACATTTCAATACATTTCCGAGGGCCAAAGAAACAGGTATAAAGGCTCATCTGTTTAATGCTGCTTATGCTTGCGGCACCTAGCACGGCATGTTATGAGTTATCATAAAAAAGATGAGTTATTTGGACCTGCTACATCCGTGTAAAACCATTCAATCAAATTAATCGGTGAAGGAATACACACAATTATTCAAAACAAAAGTACGAAATATGGACAATTTATTTAATGAAATTGTTGGTGACACATGAGTTGAGGGAATATTTATTGCCATCCACGAGACCCGGCATGACCAGGTGGTTAGGGAGCTTGGGTCGCAGGTTCGAATCCCCGTCACACCAAACATGCTCGCTCTTTCAGCCGTGGGTGCGTTATAATGTGACGATCAATCGCATTAAAAAAAGAGTAGCCTAAAAGTTGGCGGTGAGTGGTGATGACTAGCTGTCTTCCTTCTAGTCTTACACTGCTAAATTAGAGACGGCTAGCGCAGATAGGCCTCATGTAGCTTTGTACGAAATTCAAAACAAACAAGCAATCCACAGATAATATTGAGTTTCATTGTAATTTTGATGGAACTAATGTACGATTATGAATTTCATATATTTTGATTATACATTTTCAATTATAATTGTATGTTATTTCGATGCTTTGAAAGTATAGGGTAAAAAATGATCTTCTGTTGATTTTCATAGGAAAAAAATCCAATTTCTAGTTTTTCTGTATAACCATTGAAGCTATATAAGGTACTTTTATTTTAAGCTATACAAGGTACCTTTATTTTCTTAGATTCTCTAGAGGCGAATGAATCATAGCCTATAAAATTAAGTGTCAACCAGAATTTGTTTTATTTATTTTTTTATGTTTCGTATAGTACTAACAATTGAGAGGATTGTGAACCTGATAAATTAAGTACACGGCTTCTGTTTATTTTTTACTGAGCAAAATAGAGTGCTTTATGTGAGTGTAAATTCTAGTTCACACCCTATGTCGTTTACAATATTTTAGACAATATTTGATAAACCAATGAAACTAAATTTCATTATAATTTATTTTCAAAATTTTTATTACATAAAAAGAAACCAGAACACAACACTGATGACGACAGGCGTATTTATAGTCTATTTCATTGACTAATTACCAAAAAAAAAATATTTCTTTTGAAATTACATATTATTTAAAACAAAGATTGAAAGAGAAATTAAAAAATTTACATTACTTCTAGAAATATTGTTTGTTTGTTGAATTTCGCGAAAATATATTCAAGGTTATCTGCGCTAGCCGTCCTTAATTTAGAAGTAATAGACTAGGCTAGAGGAAAGGCAGCTAGTGTACACTACCCACCGCCAACTCTGGGGCTGTTATTTACTAACGAATAGCTGGATTGACCGACACATTATAATGCTCCCATGGCTGAAAGGGCGAGCGTGTTCGGTGATGGGATTGGAACCCACGACCCGCAGATGACGAGTAGAGTGCCCTAATCACCAGGCCCCAATAGAAGTATTAGAAATGCCATTTTTCACCTGTAAAAGTATGTACGTGGTAACGAATCCTTCTGTCATGTCAACTGTACATAATGTTGAAATAGCATTGAAGCTATGAAAACAAAACATATTTAGTGATGCAGAAATGCACCAGTTATAGACACAAAAATAATTTTTTTTCAATTTAATTACAGTTAAAGGGCACTGTAAGAGTGTAATACATTTACAAAAATCATTCTATAGACATATATCAAACTATGACACCGACCTGGCTATCATTTGACTTTCTCAGCCTACCAGTATATATATTTTTATGCCTAACCTTTTTTCTGAATAAAATACATTTAGACCAACCAGATCATTCAATTTAGTCTTTGAAAATGTTCATCCTATTGTTATTTCGTGCCCACTGATTAAGGAGCTCGACTCGCAATCTGAGGGTTGAGGGTTCGAATCCCCGTCCCACCAAACATGCTCGCCCTTTCAGCCGTGGGTACGTTATAATGTGACGGTCAATCCCACCATTCTTTGGTAAAAACGTAGCACAAGAGTTGGCGATGGGTGGTGATGACTAGCTGCTTTCCCTATAGTTTATCACTACTAAATTAGGGACGGCTATGGCAGATATCCCTCGTGTAGCTTTGCGCAAAATTCAAAACAAACCAAACCAAACCTATTGTTGTTTAACCCCTTAACTGCGGTTGACATCATATGATGTTATTTTGAATGGCCCGCCTTAAAAATTCACGAATCTTTGCACACGGGGTGGTAGACAGATTTACACAAGCCGCAAACGAAGGGTTAATTCAATAAAACCTATTGTTTTTTTTAATATCTCTGCTGTCTAGTATTCTTCTCAATGAATTAAAATCGACTAGCAGATTACAGAGTGAAATCTAAAAAAAAAAAAAAATACAGCTGATTGTGAGAGGCTTAGTTTCAGTTTCGTTTTAGATTAAGAACTTAGAACTTGATTGTTACTAAGCAAGATTTCAGACAACTTCTGGCAACAGTGTTTGAAAATAGACCAGTAATAGTTTATGTGTTTTGAATTTCGCGCAAAGCTACACGAGGGCTATCTGCGCTAGCCGTCCCTAATTTAGCAGTGTAAGACTAGAGGGAAGGCAGCTAGTCATCACCACCCACCGCCAACTCTTGGGCTACTCTTTTACCAACGAATAGTGGGATTGACCGTTTCATTATAACACCCCCCCCCCGGCTGAAAGGGGGAGCATGTTTGGTGGGACGGGGATTCGAACCCGCGACCCTCAGATTGCGAGTCGAGCGTCCTAATCACCTGGCCATGTCGGGTCCAGTAATAGTCCAGTAATAGGCATCTGTTTAAAACTCTTGACTCCCCACTGAAAGTCTGCGAAAACTACTTCTCCAGTTAAACCTTCATTATAAAAATGTTTG